CTTCTTCTGCTCCCCATGGGTAAGGCGATGCAGGCACAGGCCAGCTCATCCCAGACCGACGGTAGCTGCTTGGGAAGGAGGCCCGGGTTGGTCAGTACTGACAGCCCGGAGGTCTGGGTCCCAGAACAGCTCTACCCGTGAGGGGAAGAGCTTGGACCCAGGACAGAAGCGATAAGAGATGTGGCTTGTAGGAAGGCTTGTGGGGGACAGTAAAGGGGACAGTTGTGGAAGGAAGGGGAGCTGGACAGAGCTGCTGGCTGCTGCGTGGAGTTAATCTAGAGGTGGAAATGAGCGGGAGCTCCCTGCTCACCTTCCACCTGAGAGTAGAAGAAAGCACCCAGCATCTGAGTGTATTGATGAGTTGGATTTAGTCTCTGCTCTCGAGGAGCTGCCCAGTGGAGGCACAGGACCACACCTGTGAAAGGTGACCGGTAGCTCAGGTGGTCCAGATGGACTCTATCTGGTTGCCTTGTGAGAGGAAGAGCCAGCGCCCTGAGCCGTCTTCAAATCGCTGCCCTTTCAGGGGCGGGAGACAAATGGAAACACATTCACGCTGTCAGGATCCCAGAGACAGCAGACATGATGTGGAACTGACCGGCTTAGGGGTCCGGAGACCTTTAACTTGTACTGAGAGTGAGGGGTGTTGGAAAAGTTACTCTGAGTAGCTGAGATGCTCACGTGTGGAAAAGGATTGAATTTCCTGTGGGCGCCTGTATCAAAGTGAAGCCCTCAGGGGTTGAAGCACTGAGATTTTGGCAGGAGGAGGAACTAGCTAGAGCACTATCTGGAGGAAGTAGTCTGTGGTGACTTAATACCCGGTCAGGAAGGTTTGTAAGCTGGACACGCTCAGCATTTCCCTCCCCCGCTCAGGTTCTGGTTCTCAGGTCTGTGCTTTCCTTGCCCTGCCTCCTGCAGTCTGGGGGGTCCCTCTGCCATCTCGGCAATAGCAGTCTTGTAACACATTCCGCAGCTGAGACTGAGTGGCCACTACCTGCCAGACACTGCCGTAAGTCCTTTACAGGTGCTAGCTGTCGAATCCTCCCGAGGTGGCTCTTACCACCAACCAGTTTTCATAGGTGGCGGAAGGCACAGGAGCTGAGCAGCTTGCCCGGGGTCACAGTGAGCAAATGGCGGGCTGGGGCTGTAGCTTTAGCCTCACTGCACTTAACAACTTTGCTACAGTAGTTTACAGCCATTAGTTTCATCACTTCTCACAGCAATCCCGCTAAGAACTCAGACTCGGAAAGATGGAGCCAGAGCAAGAGGTGGGACAGTGGTGGCTGGGGACAGGAAAACCCTCACTGCTGCCCTCCCGCAGCCGGCAGAGCCGCCCTCGTCCCGGCTTCTGCTGCAGCGCCCGCTAGACCGCTTGCACAAACTGCCTTGTCTGAGGCCTGTACCCTAGACTCGGGGCCTGAAAGTGGGCAAGGTTTGGTGTGTCTGTGGCAGGTTTTAAAGCCCAGACGTCATCACTTTCACTGCCCTTTCCCTAGCAGTTTGTGACCCCAAAGAACTTCAGGGCCATTCTTGACCCTTCAGCCAGAGTGACCTTTTGCAGGCACAGACTTGACCTTGCCAGAGTGGTGCACTGCCTGCCCTGTGTCCGGAGACAGTCTGAATGCCGCAACTGCCGGGCAAGGTCCCGGAGAGCAGACTCAGCCTTTTCTCCCTCCTCCCGCCTTGTGCGCCCACGTGGGCTGGTCTCTCCTTCCCCGGTGCATCCCGAGGGCGGCTGTGCTTCCCGCTGGATGGCCTGTGCCCGGCGGCAGCCGCGGGCATCTGCCACCTGCACATGGCCCCGTGGGGTCTCCCTGCTCTAGTCCCAACACTTTCTGAGCAGGGCGCCGGCGCGGGGGGGGGGGGGCTGGAAGGGCTTGGCGGGAGGGGAGGCCACTGCCTCAGAAGGGGCAGCGTTCTGACCGGGCCTTCTCTTGCAGGGTGACCCCGCGCCCGGCGCTGGTGCGGGCCACGGGCTGCAGGATGAACTGCCGCTCGGAGGTGCTGGAGGTGTCGGTGGAGGGGCGGCAGGTGGAGGAGGCCTTGCTGGCCGTGCTGCACACCGTGCTCCTGCACCGCAGCGCCGGCAAGTTCCACTACAAGAAGGAGGGCACCTACTCCATCGGCACCGTGGGCACCCGGGACGTCGACTGTGACTTCATCGACTTCACCTACGTGCGTGTCTCCTCCGAGGAGCTGGACCGCGCCCTGCGCAAGGTTGTCGGCGAGTTCAAGGTAGGGGATGGCGCAGTGGGGGACAGGTGGACCCCAGATGCCAACCAGCTCATCTTTCCTGGGTGCGTGTTGTGTGTTGGTGATTTTGGGTTCTGATAACGGGTGTTCAGAGCTCCTCTGGGGCAGGAGGGTGCGCGTCTGTGGGGCGAGGGGGCGTCGAGGTGGGAACGCGAGTTCCTGTGAACTGACCCTGTGAAGGGAGTGCAGGAAGCCGGGGCGTCTGCTGGTGCAGGCGCTGTCCCTGTGGCCTTGACCCTGTCTGCTTTGCTTCCACCTTCCCTGCGCCTCCTGAGGGGGCGCTGCGGGACATGCTGAGGGGCGCCTGCGGGCCGCCAAGCTGCGCTAGATGGAGCTAGATGGAAGGGCGGCGGCGGTTGGCTGCTTCGGGGCTTCTCTCCCCAAGCGCGTGTCTTTAGGTTCTGAAATAACAGGGCAACTTTAGTTAAGCTGTTGCCAGAGGAGGGAGGTCGGTTTGGAGCGCCCTGTGCTGTCTGGCACTGAGCGCTTACGCAGGAGCTTGCCGGTGTGGGGCCTGCCCGGCCCCCCGCCACCTCCCCTCCCCTCCCCTCCATGCCCAGGAGCAGCGAGTTCCTCAGAAGCTTTCGGGTCCCCCTTCAAGGGGGCTGTGCTGCTCAGGCCCTGCCATTGTGTGCCCTCAAGCGAGGGACCCCGGGGTGGGGCAGTGAGCGCACCTCAGAGGTTGTGCGGATGGAGGAGTGGCCAGAGAGGTCAAGTGCTGCACACAGCTGGTGTGTCGGCCTGTCAGTTACGGGACCTCGGTCCATCGGCGGAGGCGTATCCCCGGGGAGGGCAGCGTCCTCACACTCTGGGTTGGCCCCAGCTCAGATGGAGAGGTGTGTCAGGGTCCCAGCTGTCCTGAGGGGACCCCTCCTAGTGCCTCCCCTCAGGATAGGCAGAGCTGGGTCCCATTCGCTTAGCGGAAGAGCAGGAGCCACAGGGGCCAGGTCTGGGCTTGTCCCTCCCGCTCCGGGCCGTGGCAGCCTTGTCTGGAGTCGCCCTCTTTCGGATGCCGAGGCTAGGCTGTCTTCAGACAGGCAGCGGGGGAGGCAGGGGTTTGCCTGGGTGGAGACCTTGGAGACTGATGTTGGAGAATGTGCAAGGCGGGGGTGGGATTCTGGAAGGAGAAGGGCGCATGTGTGAAGGTGGAAAGCCGGGGTTTTGAAATGGGAGTCGGATTCGAACCTGGCACGGAGCCTCCGGCCTGGCCTTGGGCAGGCCCCTTACTTTTCCCAGCTTCGTTTTATGTCAAGTGGAGGCAGCATACCTGCCGCACAGAGGTGTAGAGAGAAGCCAGGGGGGCTCCCTGAAGTGCTTGGCTCAGGTTAAGAATGTCCTGCCGTACCACGCCGGAGGCGCTGGGCCAGGGAGTTTGCTGGTCTGCGTGACCCGCTCAGCTTCAGGCTGGCGCTGCTCGGTGCTTCACACGCCCTTTCCTCTCCTCTCGGGGTGGTGTTCTCTGCCCTTGCTGGGGGACTCATAGAGCCAGGAGAGCATAATTCCCTGGGGCGTCAGAAGCAGGCGCTCCCTGAGTGAGAACTCGGGGTCCGGGCTTGACCTCCTTTACCCTTCTTCCCAGGATGCACTGCGAAACTCTGGCGGCGATGGGCTGGGGCAGATGTCCTTAGAATTTTACCAGAAGAAGAAGTCTCGCTGGCCTTTCTCTGACGAGTGCATCCCTTGGGAGGTGTGGACAGTCAAGGTGCACGTGGTAGCCCTGGCCACGGAGCAGGAGCGGCAGATCTGCCGTGAGAAGGTGGGGGAGAAGCTCTGTGAGAAGATCATCAACATCGTGGAGGTGATGAACCGGCATGAGTATCTGCCCAAGATGCCCACGCAGTCAGAGGTGGACAATGTGTTTGACACGGGGCTGCGGGATGTCCAGCCCTACCTCTATAAGATCTCCTTCCAGATCACCGATGCCCTGGGCACCTCAGTCACCACCACCATGCGCAGGCTCATCAAAGACACACTGGCCCTCTAGGCCTGGCTGCGGCCTGTGGCTGCTCCCGTGGGCGCCTAGACCCCGCCTCTGGGGCTAGCCCTGTAAGGCTCGTGGGACGCTGGACTTGCTCTGGGTCCTTGATGACACTTGGAAGGAGCCACCGGATGACCGGGCTCGGTCCTCCTCTCGGCCTTTGCTGGTGTCGAGCCTGGCTGTGCTCCCTCCACTGTGGCGGTGGCCCCTTCCTGCTGCACTGTAAGGAGGAGCCACGCGCACGTGGGGAATAAAGTCGAGAGCGCGAGTCTGGCTAGAGCCGGCGTCTTCTTCTGTGACGCGCCAGAGCTTCCGGGCCACGGTGTGTGCCGACACTGTTCCAGCTGGCGGCGAGTGGGCGGGTAAGAGTGTACCCGCCGGCTCTTCTACCTCGGCACAGTCACATAAGTGTGTGCTCCCCCAGGGGTGGCCACGGTCAACCCCAGGGGTGGGATTGAGGTCAGTTGCTTTTGGATGTGAGGAGGTAGCGGCTGAGCTCTTTCTCCTGCCTTCCTGAGGAAGCCGTGGCCGCCTGCCCTTGAGATGACTTGGTCTTCACGACAGCCCAAAAGAGCGTCTTGTTCGTCTTCATCACACGCACACAGGCGCCTGTGTGCGCCACGTGCACCAGAAAGGTCATTTCGTCGGTGTCTTGGGTGAGAAGCTAGAGGCCTGAGACTGGCATCGGGTGGCAGTGCTAGGTTGAGCTGGCCCTGCGTGGGGCTGGGTGGAGTTTTGGTCACTGCATTGTTCTACACAGCGTACTCAAAACCAGCGAGTCCACTTGGAGCGGTCAGTGGGTATAGCCATCTTCACGGGGCATCTGGGACATCTTGGAGGGCTCTGACGGTGTGGGGAGGGGTGCCGAGACCCTGGGGCAGAGGATGGGGGCTTGGCCCGTGCTCCTGGGCAGGGCAGCTAGCTAGGATGCCAGCAAGTATTGGCACATTTCCTCATTCCTCGTCCCCCAGCCAAGGGTGATGTCCACCCTTGGCCTCGGGCATCAGGACTTGGGAGGTTCTTAGGGACTAGAGATGGGGAAACCCATTCCTAGCAAGTTCTTGATGGTGTGTGGTGTCCGGTCTTCCCCCCCGCCAGGTCTACGAGGGCTCTTTTCCCCCTGGCCTTCAGCCAGTCCCTTTAGGGGTTGCTTGAGGACCAGTGTTCAGGCTGCTGGCGACAGGAAGGAGGGTCTTCCCTCCATTGCAGCTTCCCCAAAGCCACGGGCTCTTTTTCTGCAGCCAGGCTCTGCTCTGCTCTCCCACCCTGGCAGACTGTGGGGTCCCAGCAGGCGGCCAGCTCCTTGAGCAGGACAGTAACCTCCCCAGTGTCTTGGGGCCGTGGTGACTTCCCTGTGGGGGCCTGATTTGCTCAGGGTTAAGACTGGTCACAATTCTGTGCCTTCCCTTGGCCTGTAAATGTGAGTCCTTGACTTCTGACCTGATGGAAGGAGTGGGGGCAGGCCTTGAGCACCCCGCCATGCTGTGCGTCTGTCTGCTGAGGTCACGGGGCCCGGCCTGCGTGTCCTGGAGCCTGGGTGGGTGACGGGGGGCATGAGTGCCAGTTACGCAGGGCCTGAGGCTGCCCTTTGTCGCCTGTTCTGGGGCTGCTTGGGCCACACAGCAGGGTTGTGCTTGGCCCAGAGACAGACGGGGCCGGGATCAGGGGTCGCTCTTGTTCTGTGCCTGTCAGCACTCGGGGTGAGGTGTGAGCGATCTGCTCAGGGCTGGTGATGAGGAAGTAGCTTTGGTCACTCGCACCCACTTTCACACAAGCACCGTCCAAATCTGGCTGCCTGGCCCGGGGTGGGGGGGTGGGGGTTGGAGCCCCAACCCAGTGGCTTCTGGAGCAGGGGAGAGGCTGCCACACTCCGGCCGCCTCCTGCAGCAGCGCGGCTGGGCTGGGCGAGGGAGGCTTGGGGCAGGACTCTGGGCTTGACTGGCCGCAGGCACGGGCCAGGTCTGCCCAGGCGCGTGGCCCTTGGGGCGAGAAGCTCTCCAGCCTTCAGTCACAGCCCTCAGACAGGCGCGTCCTCCGTGTGGGAAGGGCCTGGGCCTGGAGGCGGGGTGGAGGGCGCCTGGGGTCCGCCCCTCATCCCCAGCCCGCCCCTGCGCAGCCGGCTCCCACACATCTGGCGGGTGCCTGCACCTCTGGGCAGCGGCGCCACAGCATGAACGGTTCGCAGGCGGGTGCTGCGGCTCCGGCCACCTGGCTGAGCTCCTGCTGCAACCAGTCCCAGCCCGGGGCGCCTCCGGAGCCCCCCGAGGGGGGGCGCGCCGCGGTGCAGGCGGTGGTGCTGGGTGTGCTGTCGCTGCTGGTGCTTTGCGGGGTCCTGTTCCTAGGCGGTGGCCTCCTCCTCCGCGCCCAGGGCCTGACCGCGCTGCTGGCCCAGGAGAGGCTTGCGCCCAGAGAGGCCGCCCCGGGCAGCGCCAGCGGCGGGGACGAGGAAGACAGCCTAGAGACCCGCTGAGCCCGGCTCCTCAGCTGCGCTGCGGGGGACTGCTGTGGGGACCGACCAGACCCCCCCTCCCACTCCCCTGCACAGGTGAGAGCCGCCGCAGGGCTGGGCGAGTGGGGGCGCCTGCCTCCACTGAGGCCCTCTCCGTGCAGCCAGTGCCAGAGCTAGCTTCTGTGGGGACACCTCCCTGCTCCGGAATCCCTGGGGCTGGGGATCCAGCTACCAGGTGTGGGGGTGTCTGAAGGAAGTCAGCCTCCGCCCAGCCCACCCCACCCCTCCTGCGGGGTGATGCGGCAGTGTCTTTGTAGAACTGAGGCGCCTGGAGGGGCCATGCTGAGCTTTGGGGTCCTTCCTTCCACAGCCCCACAATCCTCCGCTCCCCCAGCCGCACCTGTCCCGAGGTTGCTCTCAGTGGTTCTTTGGCATCACCTCACCGTTCCTCTGGGAGGCTGAGGAGAGAAGGCTGCGAAAGCTCAGTCACACCAGGCAGCCCTGCTCCCTCCCTGCTCCCTCCCTCCTGTCCTTCTGTCTGTCTGCCAGACCGGCTGCCTGCCCAGGAGTCCTCCCTGGAAGGGTTTCGGTAGGTTCTTACCGCCTCCCTTTTGAGGCAGGGATGGGAGTGGGCCTTGTCTAAGGCAGAGCCAGGGGCCCAGATGACCCTGGGAGAGGGTGGTGTGCCAGGACCCCTACCCCAGACTTCAGATTAGGCAGAGGCATGTGCCCCAGATCAAGGCGCATTGTGGGTGTGTGTGTGTGGGGGGGACTGTGGCAAGACTCCTAACAGCTGGGGGGCCTCAGAAGCACATTGCTCCAGGAAGCTGGGGCTGAGGCGGCCCAGCTGTGGGCTCCGTCTGGCTCTCCTACCTCCCGAGTCTGCAGGAGAGGAGCCATCTGGAGCCAAGGGCCTGGGTGGCCTAAGACAAGGTAACTCCAGGCCACAGCTACCTCAGGCAGAGCAAGGGGCGGGTGGGGAGAGCCTCAGGTGCAGCAGGAACTCAAGGGCCCTGGGGGTGGCTCCTGGGGGGTGTCTGCGAACTGCCCTTGGGTGGGGGCTGGGGGCGCTTCCTTCCTGTCTCACCCCTTCCCCTCAGCTTCCATCCCCTGATTTGCTTTCGGCCAGGGAGCCCATACCAGGAGGGGCTGGCTGGGTGGAGCGGGGAGCCTAAGCCCGACTTCTGAGCATCTGAGCACCGGGCGCCCAGGGTTTGGTGCTAATCCCGGGCAGCTGTGCCACGCTGGCCTCCTGAGCCCTGGACTTCTCACCTCAGGGTGCCGCTGCCCCGCAGAGCCGCTGCCAGCAGTACAGTGTGTGTGCAGCTGTCTGTGACCGTCCGGTGGGTTTGGCTCGGGCCCTGGGGCCTTCCCACCCCTCTTCGGAGTCCTGGGGGCACGGGGTGGGCGCCCCTCTGTCTCCGGTTCCCTTCATTCCCAGCCCAGTACCTGCTGCTGCTTTCCCCATCCCCTCCCTTTACCCTGTGCTCACCTCCCCAGCAGGACTGAGGGTTCAGCCCAGGCCTAGAGGGAGCCCTGTGAGTGGCAGACCTGGAACTGGCCCCTGACTCCCCACCAGCTCAGAGTGGGAGCCTTACCCCCTGGGCTGGCCTCTCCCCACCCCCTCTCCTGTCTCTCTCTGAGATGCTAATGCCCACTCTGGCCCCTTCACCAAAAAGGACACAAGCAACACACTGACTCCTGCTTCCCCAGCAGCTGCTGCGGATGCTGGATGCTGGCAGAGGCGGGCCGCTGGGCTCAGCTTTCCTGGGCCGCACCTGAGGGAGCAGCTGGACGCAGAGGCCGACTGACCCATCTCTGGAGGGGAACGGCCCGAGGGGGCAGAGCAGAGAGGGCGGAGGTGGAGGTGGGGTGATGCCTTCGGGGTCTGGGTGGTGAAGGGGCATAAGGGGATTCTGTGGAAGGAAGGCTGCGCCCAGCGCCAGGTGTGCTCATGCCAGGCGGGGCTGGGGGGGCGGGACGGCAAAAGCTCTCCCCTTCAGCTTCCTGCCTTCGCTGTGTCTTAGCGGGGATGTGTGTGCGGGGGCCTCTGTGTTCTCGGGGAAGATTCTGAGATGTTTGCCGTGGAGCTCTGACCTTGGTCAAGGCTGTCCGACTGGGAGGAGGAAAAGAATTTAGGAAGTTGGGAGCTGGGTGCTGGAGCAGCTCCTCTTCTGTGGCTCCAGCTGGAGTGCGGGGTGGGTGGGTCGGTCTGAGTGCCGTGGACGGCGCCCGGCCGCTGGGCCCCACAACGTCCACCCGCCAGCGCCGTCCTTGGGGGAGGACTGGGGGCAGATGTCTGGAGATGTGGCCTTGGCCTTCCTCCAGCCCTTGAGTTGCGCCCTGCGCGGGGTCCCTGTCAAGCCAGGCGGCCCTTCCCGGCACAGATGCAGGTGGCTGTCGCCTACAGGTTCCTGAGCCTGGAGCGTGGCTGCCTCCCTCCCGCCCGCCTCACCCAGGGAGCCTCTTCCCGGCCCGCCTCACCCAGGGTGCTGCAGCCGACAGGACAGCCGGGAGCAGCCGGATCTGGTGACGCCTGGCCCAGCCTCGCGGCGCCCAGCGGCACCCGAAGTGCTCAGGTGTGGGCCTGGGAGGCCAGCGCCCCCGTCTGTGCCACCCCTTGACACCAGCCACGTGTCCTGGGCGCGGAAGTGGACACACCCCGCATTCTCGGTGACAGATGCGGACCGGAGCGTGCCCTGTCTGGGCAACGCGGCCCTGGGCTGCCACCAGTGCCTGTCCCTGCTGCGGGCTGTGGTTCCGTGTCCCGCATCTGGAGGGCTTGGGCGCCCCGGAGAAGACCTCGTCACCGCCGGGGCT